TAGATAGTAAAGTATTCTCGTCTAGTGGTGAAAAAAGGAGATGAGCAGCCTTAATGACTGTAGTGTAGTTGATAGGCTTTAAAGGTCATTAAGTAACCAACCTTTAAGTCAACATTTGTTAAGCCAAGTAGAAATAATTTACACTCGCCTGCTACGCGTAAATTTGTATCAACAGCCAACAAGTAGCGATTAACTTATTTACAAAGGTACACGAAGATTTGTTCACATTAGAACTTTCTCAGATGTTTCTAGGAAATCAGATACGCATAAGTCATACGTATAGCAGAGAGGAAAGTAGTGCTTCAGATGGAGGAGGAAAAGTGGCCTGTGCATTCAAGCATAGATGAGTCTTTAGACCTGCTGTAGTGATTTATTACTTGGGAATGATAAGTGCAACACCAGGAATCTTTATTGATGAGTGGGGTCGTTCGCACTACAAATTTCATCAGAAGTAAATAGAGATGAATCACACTCCTGGAAGCATCAACGTTGATGGAAGACGAAGCAAACGAAATAAGTAGAGGTTATGTTGATGGAATCAGTCCATCACCCTAGGTACAAGATGATCAGTCTCTTACCCTAAAAGCAGCAGCAGTTGGCCAAAGGTTTCTATGGAGGAAAGGTGTAGCAACTTGGAGATGAAGTGACAGATGAACTGAGACTAATAGTGAAGCTGGTCAAGGATAACAGTTGTTAGCAAAATAATTACAGAATTAACCTTTGGTACCAAAATACAATCGTGTTCCAATGTCAATACAAGTATCGTATTACAAATGGTACAGAGTACTGATTTATTTGCAGTTTGTTCTTTTATGCAATTTTGTTTTTACTCTTGACGAGGAAACGCTAAATCGAAAGCCTCTCTGCTTTGAGGAATAATGAGTGCAGTCATAATTAAAACTATTTCTAAATACATTTTAGAGATGTGTTTTTTCTCCAACGATGTTGATTTTAGCCCGATCTTTTATTTTTCGTTGTTGATGCGGCAATAAGCATCAGCACTTTATGGAAGAGGAAAACTAAATTTGTTACCATCACTACAAATACTCTCAGGGATCTTACAAGAAATAAACGAAAAACAGAAAAGAACATTCCTAAGGCATATATATATATATATATATATATATTATATATATATATATATATATATATATATATATATATATATTATATATATATATTATATAGGAAGGGTTGTTAGGTGGTTCGGAGCAATGGGCTAGTAACCCCTTCTCCTGTAGACATTTACTAAAAAAGAGAAGAAGAAAAACTTTATAAAACTGGGATGCTTGAATGTTCGTGGATGTAGTGCGGATAACAAGAAACAGATGATTGCTGATGTTATGAATGACAAGAAGTTGGATGTCTTGGCCCTAAGCGAAACAAAGCTGAAGGGGGTAGGGGAGTTTCGGTGGGGGGAAATAAATGGGATTAAATCTGGAGTATATGAGAGAGTTAGAGCAAATGAAGGGGTAGCAGTAATGTTGAAGGATCAGTTATGGAAGGAGAAAAGAGAATATGAATGTGTAAATTCAAGAATTGTGTGGATTAAAGTAAAGGTTGGATGCGAGAAGTGGGTCATAATAAGCGTGTATGCACCTGGAGAAGAGAGGAATGTAGAGGAGAGAGAGAGATTTTGGGAGATGTTAAGTGAATGTATAGGAGCCTTTGAACCAAGTGAGAGAGTGATTGTGGTAGGGGACCTGAATGCTAAAGTAGGAGAACTTTTAGAGAGGATGTGGTAGGTAAGTTTGGGGTGCCAGGTGTAAATGATAATGGGAGCCCTTTGATTGAACTTTGTATAGAAACGGGTTTAGTTATAGGTAATACATATTTTAAGAAAAAGAGGATAAATAAGTATACAAGATATGATGTAGGGCGAAATGACAGTAGTTTGTTGGATTATGTATTGGTAGATAAAAGACTGTTGAGTAGACTTCAGGATGTACATGTTTATAGAGGGGCCACACATATATCAGATCACTTTCTAGTTGTAGCTACACTGAGATTAAAAGGTAGATGGGATACAAGGAGAATAGAAGCATCAGGGAAGAGAGAGGTGAAGGTTTATAAACTAAAAGAGGAGGAAGTTAGAGTATGATATAAACAGCTATTGGAGGATAGATGGGCTAATGAGAGCATAGGCAATGGGGTCGAAGAGGTATTGGGTAGGTTTAAAAATGTAGTGTTAAAGTGTTCAGCAGAAGTTTGTGGTTACAGGAAAGTGGGTGCGGGAGGGAAGAGGAGCGATTGGTGGAATGATGATGTAAAGAGAGTAGTAAGGGAGAAGAAGCTAGCATATGAGAAGTTTTTACAAAGCAGAAGTGATGCAAGGAGGGAAGAGTATATGGAGAAAAAGAGAGAGGTTAAGAGGAGTGGTGAAGCAATGCAAAAAGAGAGCAAATGAGAGAGTGGGTGAGATGTTATCAACAAATTTTGTTGAAAATAAGAAAGAGTTTTGGAGTGAGATTAACAAGTTAAGAAAGCCTAGAGAACAAATGGATTTTTCAGTTAAAAATAGGAGAGGAGAGTTATTAAATGGAGAGTTAGAGGTATTGGGAAGATGGAGGGAATATTTTGAGGAATTGTTAAATGTTGATGAAGATAGGGAAGCTGTGATTTCGTGAATAGGGCAAGGAGGAATAACATCTTGTAGGAGTGAGGAAGAGCCAGTTGTGAGTGTGGGGGAAGTTCTTGAGGCAGTAGGTAAAATGAAAGGGGGTAAGGCAGCCGTGATTGATGGGATAAAGATAGAAATGTTAAAAGTAGGTGGGGATATAGTTTTGGGGTGGTTGGTGCAATTATTTAAAAAATGTATGGAAGAGGGTAAGGTACCTAGGGATTGGCAGAGAGCATACATAGTTCCATTGTATAAAGGTAAAGAGGACAAAAGAGAGTGCAAAAATTATAGGGGGATAAGTATGTTGAGTATACCTGGTAAAGTGTATGGTAGAGTTATTATTGAAGGAATTAAGAGTAAGACGGAGAATAGGATAGCAGATGAACAAGGAGGCTTTAGGGAAGGTAGGGGGTGTGTGGACCAGGTGTTTACAGTGAAACATATAAGTGAAAAGTATTTACATAAGGCTAAAGAGGTCTTTGTGGCATTTATGGATTTGGAAAAGGCGTATGACAGAGTGGATAGGGGGGCAATGTGGCAGATGTTGCAGGTGTATGGTGTAGGAGGTAGGTTACTGAAAGCAGTGAAGAGTTTTTACGAGGATAGTGAGGCTCAAGTTAGAGTATGTAGGAAATAGGGAGATTATTTCCCAGTAAAAGTAGGCCTTAGACAAGGATGTATGATGTCACCGTGGTTGTTTAATATATTTATAGATGGGTTTGTAAGAGATGTAAATGCGAGGGTCTTGGCAAGAGGCGAGAAGTTAAAAGATAAAGAATCACACATAAAGTTGGAGTTGTCACAGTTGCTCTTTGCTGATGACACTGTGCTCTTGGGAGATTCTGAAGAGAAGTTGCAGAGGTTGGTGGATGAATTTGGTAGGGTATGTAAAAGAAGAAAATTAAAAGTGAATACAGGAAAGAGTAAGGTAATGAGGATAACAAAAAGATTAGGTGATGAAAGATTGGATATCAGATTGGAGGGAGAGAGTATGGATGAGGCGAATGTATTCAGATATTTGGGAGTGGACGTGTCAGCGGATAGGTCTATGAAAGATGAGGTGAATCATAGAATTGATGAGGGGAAAAGGGTGAGTGGTGCACTTAGGAGTCTGTGGAGACAAAGAACTTTGTCCTTGGAGGCAAAGAGGGGATTGTATGAGAGTATAGTTTTACCAACGCTCTTATATGGGTGTGAAGCATGGGTGATGAATGTTGCAGCGAGGAGAAGGCTGGAGGCAGTGGAGATGTCATGTCTGAATGCAATGTGTGGTGTGAACATAATGCAGAGAATTCGTAGTTTGGAAGTTAGGAGGAGGTGCGGGACTGCCAAAACTGTTGTCGAGAGGGCTGAGGAAGGTTTGAGGTGGTTCGGACATGTGGAGAGAATGGAGCGAAACAGAATGACTTCAAGAGTGTATCAGTCTGTAGTGGGAGGAAGGCGGGGTAGGGGTCGGCCTAGGAAAGGTTGGAGGGAGGGGGTAAAGGAGGTTTTGTGTGCAAGGGGCTTGGACTTCTAGCGGGCATGCGTGAGCGTGTTTGATAGGAGTGAATGGAGACAAATGGTTTTTAATACTTGACGTGCTGTTGGATTGTGAGCAAAGTAACATTTATGAAGGGATCCAGGGAAACCGGCAGATCGGACTTGAGTCCTGGAGATGGGAAGTACAGTGCCTGCACTCTGAAGGAGGGGTGTTAATGTTGCAGTTTAAAAACTGTAGTGTAAAGCACCCTTTTTCGCGCCACCTGCCTTGGTGGGAATCGGCCAGTGTGATAATAAATAAATATATATATATATATATATATATATATATATATATATATATATATATATATATATATTATATATATATATATATATATATATATATATATATATACATATAATGTCGTGCCGAATAGGTAAAATTGGTCAATTAGCAAGAAGTCATTTAAAATTTAGTCGTTTCTAAACTTTTCTCTTTTACATTTAAATATATATTTTTTTCATTTATGTTAGTGTAAAAATTAATAATTTTGTACCAAACATTCGTTAGAAAACTTACATAGCCTTAATATAACAAGCGCAATTAAATTTAGCCTAATCCAACTATATATATTTTAGATAAGTTTACAATAATTTAATAATAAACAAAATTAAATATATTTTTATCGTTAGGTGCAGAATATTTTTTTGTGAAATTAGTGTATATACAAAATTTCGCTTACCTTATTCGGCAATACGCGATGATCTTCCGCCACACAGTTTTGTCAAGTACTTCAAGTAGGAGCTACTTACATATTCTTAATAATAATAGATTTGTGATTGGTACTAAGTGGTTGTGTACGGAAAATCTAGTTTCCCTTTCTTTTTGCTTCACACACACGCACACTTAACTTACAGGTCATATCAATGGTGACAGCGGCAGTGACGGGCACAGCAAACTCAGCATTATTGGCCTGGCATATAAAAGACTGATCGAGGTGGTGGCGCTGAAGAGATGCCACTGTCAGGGTGTTGACCACTTCTCTGGGGGTCTCTACCACCTCTCCTCGTATTTCTTTGTGTCCTGCCCACCACGTTAACTTGGGCGCTGGACGACCTGAAACAACCAAGAAGTGAATTAGAAAAAACATGATAATTTACAAATAAAAATGTTAAAACAAAAAGAAGAGGGTAATTTTAAGGAAATTCATGAAAATTAAAATTTAAAATTGTTAAAAAAAGTGATAAGAGAAAAATCGAATCCCAAGCAGATACTACAGCAGACTTAAAGAAGTTCTCTGTATATATAAGCCTACCAATGAGGTCCTCTTCAGAAGGATAAGAAGGTGTCAATGGTATTACTACAGTATTAAACCTGGCAACCACGTACATCACATACAATTCCTACAACATGGGATGCAATCTGATGTCAGCCAAGAAAGGGAAGGTAACTCAAATTCCTTGGATCAAAACATCTTCACACAGTCGTAACTAGCAGCACTCTTCGATCCGTCACATACTGTAGTAACATTGGAGAGTTGTTCCAGAGGTTATCATCTGTTGCTCAACTTCAATTTATACAGAGAACATCCCACTGTGGTGCGAGCCTGCTGCGCAGAAGAAACGTTTCTCCTTTGAAGATAACTAAGTGATTCACATGCGTGCTTTAATCATCATCATTGTGTTGGACCAGATCAAACTTGTTGAAGTCATGTCAGTTCAACACAAGAATCTAAATTAATAATTGTAACTTTTACCGAAAAGTTCAACATTGAAGAATAGACAGTTTAGACTATGACACTATTGTTACCTGTGTTAGTGACACACTTAAGTGTTAGTATGACACTATTGTTACCTGTGTTAGTGACACACTTAAGTGTTAGTATGACACTATTGTTACCTGTGTTAGTGACACACTTGAGTGTTAGTATGACACTATTGTTACCTGTGTTAGTGACACACTTAAGTGTTAGTATGACACTATTGTTACCTGTGTTAGTGACACACTTAAGTGTTAGTATGACACTATTGTTACCTGTGTTAGTGACACACTTAAGTGTTAGTATGACACTATTGTTACCTGTGTTAGTGGCACACTTAAGTGTTAGTATGACACTATTGTTACCTGTGTTAGTGACACACTTAAGTGTTAGTATGACACTATTGTTACCTGTGTTAGTGACACACTTAAGCGTTAGTATGACACTATTGTTACCTGTGTTAGTGACACACTTAAGTGTTAGTATGACACTATTGCTACCTGTGTTAGTGACACACTTAAGTGTTAGTATGACACTATTGTTACCTGTGTTAGTGACACACTTAAGTGTTAGTATGACACTATTGCTACCTGTGTTAGTGACACACTTAAGTGTTAGTATGACACTATTGCTACCTGTCTTAGTGACACACTTAAGTGTTAGTATGACACTATTGTTACCTGTGTTAGTGACACACTTAAGTGTTAGTATGACACTATTGTTACCTGTGTTAGTGACACACTTAAGTGTTAGTATGACACTATTGTTACCTGTGTTAGTGACACACTTAAGTGTTAGTATGACACTATTGTTACCTGTGTTAGTGACACACTTAAGTGTTAGTATGACACTATTGTTACCTGTGTTAGTGACACACTTAAGTGTTAGTATGACACTATTATTACCTGTGTTAGTGACACACTTAAGTGTTAGTGTGACACTATTATTACCTGTGTTAGTGACACACTTAAGTGTTAGTATTACACTATTGTTACCTGTGTTAGTGACACACTTAAATGTTAGTATGACACTATTATTACCTGTGTTAGTGACACACTTGAGTGTTAGTATGACACTATTGTTACCTGTGTTAGTGACACACTTAAGTGTTAGTATGACACTATTGTTACCTGTGTTAGTGACACACTTGAGTGTTAGTATGACACTATTGTTACCTGTGTTAGTGACGCACTTAAGTGTTAGTATGACACTATTGGTACCTGTGTTAGTGACACACTTGAGTGTAAGTATGACACTATTGTTACCTGTGTTAGTGACACACTTGAGTGTTAGTATGACACTATTGTTACCTGTGTTAGTGACACACTTAAGTGTTAGTATGACACTATTGTTACCTGTGTTAGTGACACAGTTAAGTGTTAGTATGACACTATTGTTACCTGTGTTAGTGACACACTTACGTGTTAGTATGACACTATTGTTACCTGTGTTAGTGACACACTTGAGTGTTAGTATGACACTATTATTACCTGTGTTGGTGACACACTTAAGTGTTAGTATGACACTATTGTTACCTGTGTTAGTGACACACTTAAGTGTTAGTATGACACTATTGTTACCTGTGTTAGTGACACACTTAAGTGTTAGTATGACACTATTATTACCTGTGTTAGTGACACACTTAAGTGTTAGTATGACACTATTGTTACCTGTGTTAGTGACACACTTAAGTGTTAGTATGACACTATTATTACCTGTGTTAGTGACACACTTAAGTGTTAGTATGACACTATTGTTACCTGTGTTAGTGACACACTTAAGTGTTAGTATGACACTATTATTACATGTGTTGATGACACACTTAAGTGTTAGTATGACACTATCATTACCTGTGTTAGTGACACACTTGAGTGTTAGTATGACACTATTATTACCTGTGTTAGTGACACACTTAAGTGTTAGTATGACACTATTATTACCTGTGTTGATGACACACTTAAGTGTTAGTATGGCACTATCATTACCTGTGTTGGTGACACACTTGAGTGTTAGTATGACACTATTATTACCTGTGTTGATGACACACTTAAGTGTTAGTATGACACTATCATTACCTGTGTTGGTGACACACTTGAGTGTTAGTATGACGCTATTAATACCTGTGTTGATGACACACTTAAGTGTTAGTGTGACACTATTATTACCTGTGTTGGTGACACACTTGTGTGTTAGTATGACACTATTATTACCTGTGTTAGTGACACACTTAAGTGTTAGTATGACACTATTATTACCTGTGTTAGTGACACACTTGAGTGTTAGTATGACACTATTATTACCTGTGTTAGTGACACACTTAAGTGTTAGTATGACACTATCATTACCTGTTTTGGTGACACACTTGAGTGTTAGTATGACACTATCATTTCCTGTCCTGGTGACACACTTGAGTGTTAGTATGACACTATTATTACCTGTGTTAGTGACACACTTAAGTGTTAGTATGACGCTATCATTACCTGTGTTGATGACACACTTGAGTGTTAGTATGACACTATCATTTCCTGTCCTGGTGACACACTTGAGTGTTAGTATGACACTATTATTACCTGTGTTAGTGACACACTTAAGTGTTAGTATGACACTATTATTACCTGTGTTAGTGACACACTTGAGTGTTAGTATGACATTATTATTACCTGTGTTAGTGACACACTTAAGTGTTAGTATGACACTATCATTACCTGTGTTGGTGACACACTTGAGTGTTAGTATGACACTATCATTACCTTTATTGGTGACACACTTGAGTGTTAGTATGACACTAACATTACTTGTGTTGGTGACACACTTGAGTGTTAGTATGACACTATCATTACCTGTGTTGATGACACACTTGAGTGTTAGTATGACACTATCATTACCTGTATTGGTGACACACTTGAGTGTTAGTATGACACTAACATTACCTGTGTTGGTGACACACTTGAGTGTGACTCTTAGTATGATATTATCATTACCTGTCCTGGTGACACACTCGAGTTTTAGTATGATATTGATCTTATCTCAAGTAGCGACACATGTGTGTAAGCTTCCCATTGTACACATCACTCATTCCCCACATATTTGTGTTCGTTGTGCTTACCTCCCGTAGCAATACACTTGAGTATGAGAGTCATGCCCAGTACATAGGGACCAATGGTAGAGCTTTTCTCGTTGCCGTTAATGTCTACGATTCGCACACTGTCTGGAGGCACTGTGGAGGAAAGAGAGGTAGAAGTTACTGCTCGCTTTACAGAACACTGAGATACATGGAACTATTAAATAGTGTAAGAGAGAGAGAGAGAGAGAGAGAGAGAGAGAGAGAGAGAGAGAGAGAGAGAGAGAGAGAGAGAGAGAGAGAGAGAGAGAGAGAGAGAGAGAGAGAGAGAGAGAGAGAGAGAGAGAGAGAGAGATTTCTCCTGATAATTAATCCCATATGGATAACAGAGACCTGGTTCAACCTGACAGATAGAGAAATGCCTTCTGAATGCAACATACAGGGTTATAAACTATTCCACACTGATGGGGTCATCAGGAAGGGTGGTGGTGTGGCGATGTATGTCAGAGAAAATTTATATTGTTGTCTTAAATATGATATAAGATGAGAAACATCGAACACAGAGTCTGTTTGGCTACAGTTTCTCAAGGGTCGTGACAAATTAATTTTGTGTGTGATTTATAGGTCCCCAAACCTTGATAGGGAGTGCAGTAAGCTGTTATGGAACGAAAATGTTGTGATAATGGGAGATTTTAACTTTAGACTAATTGATTGGAACAATATGACAGGAAATCTTGAGTCTAGTGACTTTCTTGATACGGTTTAGGATTGCTTTTTAGAACAGGTTGTGACAGAACCAACTAGAGGAAACAATCTGCTTGACTTGGTACTTGCCAACAAAGATTCACTATTTAATAATGTTGAGGTTAATGATGAGCTTGGGGAAAGTGATCACAAATCACTTAGTTTCAATATATCATGGAATTACCCAGATAACTGCAATCAAATCTCTGTCCCAGATTTTCGCTTGGCCGACTTCATTGGACAGAAAAATTTCCTGGGTGGGCTAAATTGGGATGTCCTGACTATGGGTCAGGTAGGTGATCTTGGTTGCCAATATGACGTTTTTCAGAGCATAGTTCTAGCTGCCCAGAGAACTTTTGTTCCGAGTAGGGAAATTAGATCTAACAAAAATGATCCCAAATGGATGAACAATAGATTAAAACATCTCATTGGTCAAAAGAGAGGCATATATAGGCGTATCAAAAGAGGGGATGGGCAGTTAAGAAATCAATATATGCAATTAAAGAGAGAAATAAAAAAAGGAATAAGAAAAGAAAAAAAGGAATTATGAGGCTAAGGTCGCAAGGGATTCAAAGACTAACCCAAAAGGGTTCTTTCAGGTATACAGAAGTAAGATTAGGGACAAGATTGGCCTACTTAAGGGTAACTCTGGTCAGATCACTGACAGTGATAAGGATATGTGTGAAATTCTCAATACCTACTTTCTCTCAGTTTTCACCCAGGAAAATACTAGCGATATCATTGAAATAATAGATTATGCAGAACAGGATGATAATAAACTATGTATGATTGCGGTAATTAGTGACATGGTCCTCAGACAAATAGAGAAACTAAAACCTAACAAATCCCCAGGTCCTGATGAACTGTTTGCAAGGGTGTTAAAGGAATGTAAAGAGGAACTTTGCATACCTTTGGCTAATCTTTTTAACATATCACTACAAACTGACATAGTGCCTGATAAGTGGAAAATGGCAAATGTAATACCTATTTACAAGGCAGGTGACAGGTCCTTAGCTTCGAACTATAGACCAGTAAGCTTTACCTCCATAGTGGGAAAATTTATGGAATCATTAACTGCCGAAGTAATTCGTAGCCATCTTGATAGGCACAGATTGATTAATGAATCTCAACATGGTTTTACAAAGGGGCGTTCCTGTCTTACGAATTTACTAACTTTTTTCACTAAGGTGTTTGAGGAGGTAGATCATGGTAATGAATATGATATTGAGTATATGGACTTCATTAAGGCTTTCGATAGAGTTCCACACCAGAGGCTATTGAGGAAACTTAAGGCACACGGAATAGGAGGAGAAATTTTTTCCTGGGTAGAGGCATGACTGACAAATAGGCAGTAGAGAGTTTGCATAAATGGGGAGAAATGAGAATGGGGGCACGTCACAAGCGGTGTTCCACAGGGGTCAGTGTTGGGCACGTTGTTGTTCACAATTTACATAAACGACATAGATTGACACCAAAATAGGCCTTCCAATTCATTTTAATGAGGACACTAGAGCACTCCATGATGATTTGAATAAACTGATGCAATGGTCGGAGAAGTGGCAGATACAGTTTAATATTGACAAATGCAAAGTTCTAAATGTTGGGTTGAGTGGTGTGGGTGGTGGGGGGTGGGGAAGGGGGGGTTTAGGGGTAGGTGGGGGTGGGTGGTTTGAGGTGGTGGTGGGGTTTGAAGGTGGTGGGGAGAGTGGTGGGAGGGGGTTGAGTGGTGGGGTGGTGGGAAGTGGTGGGTGGTGTGGAGGGTGGTGGGGTTTGGTAGGTGTGAAGGGTGGGGGGTGGGGGAGTGGTTGGGTGAGGGGAGTGGGTGGTGGGTGGGGGTTTGTGAAGGTGGTGGGGTTGCAGTTTAAGGTGGTTGGAAGGTGGTGGGGGGGGGTGAAGGGGGTGGGTTGGGGTGAGGTGGTGGGTGATGGTGAAGTGTGGGTGATGGTGTGAGGTGAGGTGAGTGTGTGAAGGTGGTGGGGATGCAGTGTGTAAGGTGGGTGGGATGCAGTGGTGTGATGGTGTGAGTTGGGTGGGTGTGAAGGTGAGTGGTGAGGTGGTGGGTGCAGGTGTGGTGCAGTGGTGTGGGTGGTGTGATGGGGTGTGAAGGTGTGGGATGCAGTGGTGGGTGGTGGGAGAGTGTAAGGTGGGGGGTTGCAGTGGTGGAAGGTGGCATGGTGATGGTGTGTGAGTGGTGGGTGTGAGTGGTGTGAAGGTGGTGGGGATGAGTTGTGTGAAGGTGGTGGGGGTGCAGTTGTGTGAGGGTGTGTGAGGTGGTGGGGTGCAGTGGTTGGTGGTGGGTGGTGGGGTTGGGTGGTGGGTGGTGGGGTGAGTGGTGTGAGGTGGTGGGATGTGGTGTGAAGTGGTGGGAGTTGTAGGTGGGGTGAGTGGTGGATGAGTGGTGTGAAGGTGGGTGGGCAGGTGGTGTGAAGTGGTGTGGAGGTGGGTTGGGGTGAGTGGTGGGTGGGGTTGAGTGGTGTGAGGTGTGGTGAGGTGGTGGTGAGGTGGTGGGGATGGTTGAGGTGGTGGGGTGTGTGGTTGAAGGTGGGGGGTGCAGTGTGTGAAGGTGTGGGATGGTGGTGTGAAGGTGGGTGGTTGTGTGGTGAGTGGTGTGAAGGTGTGGGGTTGCAGTGGTGAGGGAAGGTGGTGGGGTGTTCAGTGAGTGTGAGGTGGTGGGTGTGAGTGTGAGGTGGGTGGTGGTTGAGTGGTGGGGTTGAGTGGGTGGTGGGGTGCAGTGGTGTGAAGGTGGTGGGTGCAGTGGTGGTGTGTGAGGTGTAGGTGGGGGTTGCAGTGAGTGTGAAGGGGTGGGGTGCAGTGGTGTGAAGGTGGGGTGCAGTGGTGTGAAGGGGGTGAGGTGGTGGGTGGGTGCAGGTGTGAAGGTGGTGGGGATGCAGTGGTGTGAGGTGGTGTGGGTTGCAGGTGTGTGAAGGTTGGGTGAGTAGTGTGAGTGGTGGGTGAGGTGGTGGGGGATCGGTGTGAGGGTGGGTGTGAAGTGGTGGTGGTGGTGTGGTGGTGTGGAAGGTGTGGGGTGCAGTGGTGAGGTGTGGGTGATGGTGTGAAGGTGGGTGGGATGCAGTTGGTGAGTGGTGAAGTGTGGGGGTGGTGAAGTGGTGGGATGCAGTGGTGTGAGGGTGGTGTGGGTGCAGTGGTGAAGGTGTGGGGTTGCAGTGTGTTGAAGGTGGTGGGGATGGCAGTTTTGAGTGGGTGGGTGGGGTTGCAGTTGGTGTTGAAGGTGGTGGGGTGAGGTGGTGGTAGGAGTGGTGGGGTGCAGTGGTGTGAAGGTGGTGGGGTTGGGTGAGTGTGGGTTTGGTGTGTGAAGTGGTGGTGGGGTGTGAGTGATGGTGTGTGAAGGTGGTGGGGTGAGGGTGGGGTGTGGGAAGGTGGTGAAGTGGGGTGCGTGGGGTGAAGGTGGTGGAGGTGGTGGGTGAAGTGGTGGGGTGGGGTGTGAAGGTGGTGGGGATGCAGTGTGGTGTGAAGGTGGGGGTGAGGGTTGTGGGTGGGGTGTGTGGGTGAGGTGTGAGGGTGGTGGGGATGCAGGTGTTGTGAAGGTGGTGGGGATGCAGTGGTGAAGGTGGTGGGGATGAGTAGGGTTGGAAGGTGGTGGGGATGCAGTGTTGGAAGGTGGTGGGGTGCAGTGGTGTAGAGGGTGGGTGGGGTGCAGTGGTGTGAAGGTGGGTGCAGTGGTGTGTGAAGGTGGTGGGGATGCAGTGGTGTGTGTAGGTGGTGGGGATTGCAGGGTGTGAGTGGGGGGATGCAGTGGTGTGGAGAGGTGGGGTTGGGGGGCGTGGTGAATGGATGGGGTTGAGTGGGAGAGGTGTGAGCGGGTGTGAAAGGAGGGGTGCGAGGGTGCGGGTGAGTTGAGGTGCGGTGCCAGTTAGAGGTAAATGGGGTGCGTGTTGAGGGGTGGTTGGGTAGTGGAGTGATGGGAGCAGGGGTGAATGTGGTTGCAGGGTGTAGGAATCAGTGGTGGGGGTGGTGGATCTTTTAAGTTGAGATATAGTGATGGTGGGATTGTGGAGTGGGGGGAGGGGTTGGGGGTTGGTTGTCAGTAGTGTAAAGGGTGGTGGAATCAGGATGGGGGGATAGTGGGTGCAGGGTGTGGGTAGGTGCTGGAAGGTTGGGCTTTTAGTGTAGAGGTGGGGTGAGGGTGTGTGGATGCGTGGTCGAGGTGGGATGCAGGTTAGTGGTCAGAGGGGTAGGTTGTGATATCGTGGGAAGAGTGTTAGGGTCGGAGTAAATTGGTGGATGAGGTGTGAAGGAGTGGTGCATGTGGTGAATTGGGTTGCAGGTGTGTGGGGTGCAGTAGGGAGGTGGGGGGGTGGTGGTGCGAGATGTGGGATGCAGTTGTTGAGTGTGGTGGGGATGCGTGGTGAAGGAGGTGGGGTGCAGTGGTTATGTGGTAGGGATGCGTGGTG